TTAAAGCATGCATTTATCTTTAAAATTTCGGTGTAAAATTATCCGTCCATTTTAGTTATATGTTATCTAAGATTGTCTCCTTGAAGAAAGCCGCTCTTACTACGCTAAAGAATTCCTAGCTTGAATCTAAACGCGCCACTCCAATATTTTAGCTTTCCTTGATGTCATTCATTCATGCACTAAACTTTTAATTCTATCTATCTATCTATCTATCTATCTATCTATCTATCTATCTATCTATCTATCTATCTATCTATCTATCTATCACACACAGACAGACACACACACACACACACCTATATATATATATATATTGTTGTGGGTTCCGAGATCAAATCCGGTCTCTAATGAATGACAAACGCAGGAATGAAATATAACAAATAAATGCATTTACACAATAATACAATTGGTAATACGGTTAGTAAATCCAGAAACACGGTTAGTAGCAATAATAATATATATACACTTCCTTAGAGTCTACGTGCTTGTAACTGTGACTTCTACAAGCGGTTACCTCACACTATTACTCTACCTCCAACTCAATCACAATCACTGTCACTACTCTGACTGACTCTGGGTATTTAACGGCAGCAGTCCAAGTACTCACTGGTCGAGTCCACTTGTATGAAAAAGGGGTGAACCCCATAACATATATATGTGTGTGTGTGTGACCGTTCAAATTTTTAATATGTATATGCTATTCTCTGTTATTTTTTCACAGTGAACTGACTTATTTTCTATGCCTATCTCTTGTTTTTTCATGCTTCGTTTACTATTAACAGGACACAAATCCAATAAAATTTGGCTCCATCTGTTACTTTTTCTATTTGCTACGTGCCACGAAAATCTCCAGGTTTTTTTTTAATCTCCGCTAGTTTTTTTCTTTATTTCGGAGTGAAACCCACAATTTCTATTTCCATCTTTTCTTTCCTGCAGTTCTTAGTCTATTTTCAAACGATTTTAATAATTTCCATATTTCCGAGCCCTTCGCCATTTCATTCCGTGCTGGGTTCATATTGTAACGTGCTTTTAATTTTTTTTTTTTATGTTTATTACTTATTGTCTAAGCAAATACCGCGTCCTCGTTGAATTAAATTTTCATAGTCTTGTTTCAACACATATCTTCCTTATTTGTCTATATTTCTGAGATGAGGTATTTTAGTTCTTTCCACTCTTATATTCTTTGGGACAAGTCACTGGATCCAACCAACGTTTTCTCAACTGCGTCATGTACAACACATAATCCAGTGGATAAAGCTTTGGTGAAACCAGTGATTTGACCAAAAGAGTTGCTACTGCAGTGGGGAACAAAAACATGGCGAGTTGAATTAAAGGGAGATAACTGAGACATCCGAAAGAAGTATGGCACATTGAACTAGAATAATCTATCCAGGCGGATGAAATAAGGGGTTCAGTTCGAATTTCCAATTACCTGAAAAATGCCGGAGCGTACAATGTCCGAAACGACGTGAATATGGCAAAAAGATGATGATAACATTCAAAGATTATAAAAAAGTGTAAACATATCTTTCTGGCGTCAATTTGATCTGACGACATCTTTATTCTTTATTATTCTGTGAACAATTTTCTTAAATTTCATCTTTTCTTCATTTCAGCTGCAAACTTGTATATTTTCAACCATATTTCCGTAAAATATATTTATTCTTTAAATTAGAGTTTGTGGTTATAGCTTACATATCTGGAAAAAAGAGGGAGTTACTTGAAATAAATGCCAGGAGGATAGGCGTTAACATAATATCTTGTATTAATTAGATTCTGTCCTTGAATAAGTCCAATTCTTCACATTTATTTTGTGATATTTTGAGGACTTGTGTTTTGTTTCTTTACATTTTAAATATAAATTAATATATCGTGTCCACTAAAATAGTAAACATTATTTATAAACCAATCACACTCAAGAAAACACTTACATCTTTAAAAAAAATCACCAATATGATCATAGAATACAAATCAGAAAGTTTGTTTTATTAGTCATCATTATTTTCAGGTAGATATCGTACGGACGTAGCAGAAGACATACCACCTGCCCTTTTAGGGCCAATTAGGAACAAATAAATAATTTAATTCTGGAGCCGATTTTGTTACGAAAAAGTGTATAAAATATACGTAATCCGTTCCCAAACGGGATACACACAGCTGTCAACAAACTCCACGCAACTGTCGCTTATGAACTTCATGACCTCATGCTAAAATCGACAGCGTCGGCAAACTTCAGACTATGGCAACATCGCCAACAGTAAGAAACAATATCTATCTTTGGTATCCGTTTCACTATGAATCTCGCACACACGAGTTGACTTTTTCGTAAAACACACATATAACAACATTTTATTGTTTCTCACATACGTACACAAACACAATTTATATTTTATTTCAGAACTTTATTAACCCAAACAAGAAGATATTACTTTCCAATCTATCATCAACTGCTTGTATTCTTGTCGTTATATTAAATTAATGTTTATTTTTTGAAACTACGTCGTTGTCTTTTCTATTGAATTTTATTCCTTCAATGAAAATCGTGTGATTATTCTAGACGGCCAATTTACGAGCGACCCCATAACGTTGTTTTGTTATTGTATCTAATCCCGACACTCTAAAATTTTAATATTCAACTAAACCGAGAAGAAGAATTCCTACAAATATTTTCCCGGTTCATGTAATTTAGCATTTCTTCTTCGATGGACTGATATTAGTAGAATGTTGCCAGAGAATCGTAAGTTGCTTTTTTTTTTTTTTTTTTTTTTTCAGTAAGGTGCACTCTGTTCAAGGCACGGGGGCCAGCCGAGGTAGAGAGTTATATTAAGAACGAGTTTAGACAGATAGTAGAGGAAGATAGATATGAACAGATCACGATTGTATTGATCCTGGAAAGATCCGCATGTTTCGCAGTAAGAAGCTGTTCGAGTTCAACTTATATCTCACCAATAGAATACGGGGGAGATATGGATGGTGTGATACAATGTGAGTGGCATGACGGGTTCTGGTCGCGAAGGGTAGAACTGGCAAAACCAACAAATTTAGTTCGTACGATCGATTTCCAAGAAAGAAGCGATACAGCAGTTGTACTTCGTAACAATTAATTTCCCAGATATGTACATTATATACTTGAACTCTTATCTCTCTGCCTCCAAGAATTCCAAATCTTTATCTATCTCCACGAATTATTGAATCGTTGTCATCCTTTTTAAACCTCGGTAATGTTTATATAATCTACTTAATGCCGTTCTCCCGTAGTAAGTTACAGACTGACAATTATTAAAATAAATCAAATTCATTTTAGTAATCAACAAATGTCAAATTCAAGGCTTTGTCATATTCAGTTACCTTTCTTTTTATTCTTTGTAGATGGTTTATTATTATCGTCATGTAGGTTATATCTTCTTTTCCTCTATCTTTCTTGCATTCAATCTGTACTGTGAGCATCAAATTTTTGCAAGCCGTTTTTCTGTATTTTGTGCTTTAGAAATTTCAACAATCTCTTCCTGATCTTATGTATAAGTGTCCTTTTTTTACCAAAATTTTATGACCTCATTGTTGCTCATATATTCGGTTCATGGTATTTTCAGCATACTTCCGTAGAACTTCGTTTATGTTGTTTCAAGTAAATACTTCATCTGTAAGGAAATTGTCGAGAATTCATTGCCATATAGGAGGACTGACATTACATAAATGCTCAGTACTCTTTTCTTTGTTTATAACGAAATTGTACCTAAACGGAATTTTCTAAAGAAAAACTGATTTTCTAAATTTGAGGAAATCTATTTTTCCTCCTTATATTTAGCTTGAAAACGGAAAAATAATTTCTGAAAAATTTCTCAATCAACAAGAGGAAAACTAAAAAATACAAAAAAAAAAAAACGCACATTTTTTTTTTTTCTGGCCAACCAAAAAAACGATTTGATTTTACTATATGAAGGTACGCCTCTTATATTAAAAATGCAACCCAGGAAATTATAACGATAACATGTGAATTTCCTCAGTATTTAACGTATTCTCCAGAACATTTGAAGTGAAATATTTCTGTCAAGGTGTCATTGTATACGTACTACAAATTTACATTAAAAATAAATCCATAAAAACATCGAATCAAGATTTAATAAGTGATCAAATATAAATCGCTTAACTAACGCGTACTTGCATAGAAATTTTCGGATAGCAAATTGATTAAATATAATTTGATTAAAGAATAAAAAATATAATTAATTACTGAATAATACACTTATAAATTTATACAAGCACAGGATGTTTCTACCATAATGCAGAATAATATTTCCATCAATCTACAATATACGTGCAACACGTAAATTCGCATAATTTTTTAATAAAAGATAACTGGTTTCAGATCAGTGTTTATACTGCCCACGGTGGCAAGCCTGATTGAGAATCCCGGGCAGTGCTTTCTGACATTTGCTATCATCATTTTTTCTACCTGTTTCTATCTACGTTACAAATCAAATTTAAATTTATTGTTCTCTCTCTCTCATTAAGAATGTTTTCTTTTTCTGATATTCTCTTATACTCAGTCAACCCTTTGAGACTTAGTGGCTTTATTGCCTTGATTAGGATGAAATATTAACAAAATTATTCCCCATCCTCTCAATTACTCTCCCTCTCTCTCTCTCTCTCTCTCTCTCTCTCTATATATATATATATATATATATATATATATATATATATATATATATATATATACGTGTGTGTGTGTGTGTGTGTGTGAATATATATATATATATATATATATATATATATATATATATATATATATATATATATATATATAATAAAACAGGCATTAATATACCAAATATCAACAGTATAGCATATGTGTCCATCTCACGATTCTTCTTTCAGGCCAAAACCTTTTAAAACCTCGGTCGCCCGATGCTCTACCCTACGCCTAAAAACTGAGAAATCTGTGTGAAATAACACTTTTGACATATCATGTTTCTCATTCACGAATTATGCCAGGAGATATTTTATTCGCATTGAAGAAGAAAGGGTTCAGACGCATAATATTTCTTGTTTTGTCTGCAGTCAATTTGTTTATTCTGCTTTATAATACTTCTTGGACGAAAGTCATCAACTATTACGCGAGAACGGAACAAAGGAGTTTAACCAACAGGCTTTGAATGGCACGCTGGGATGCTTCAGGGATTCCGTGTCTCTACCACGATTCTTGTTCGCAGTTGATTTCCGTTTGCATGTAGTTGAGCAACCGAGTTTCTTTATTCAAAACTTGTATAATATAAAAATTCTACAGACATCCATACACAAAAGAAGTCATAATATTGTTAAGGATAGATATTATGGACTGAACCTCGCGTGATTTCCTGCTCTTTCTGAGGAGACATACCCAACTTGGTTAATTTCAAATTTATAGTAAAGTCATTGACTTGCATATCTAATTTGATATCATGCATAAACATATGTATGTTTTTTACGATATCGCGCAGTAACACCGTTAAAATGTATATATATTAAAATTATTATCGATATAAAAAGCGTGATCATAGAAATACACGTAAGTTAGCTGTGTAGGATAAATATTGGCCAATATCACATAAAATAGGCCTAATAAAAAGAAACAAAGTGATATGAGACCTTACCAATAATAACATAATGGACTATTCTATACGGATTAAATATTGCGCCTCAAGAGGAAGCATAGAGTTCAGTCCGAAGTCGGGTGACCGGTTGACCGGCTGATCGGTTGAACTCTCTGCCTTCGGGCGGGGAGTAACCCGAACGAGGCTACGCCGAAGAGCGGAGTCTCTTTCTGCGATGTAAACCGACCCTGGACCCATTTATACGGGTTCAAAAGGCATATTTTTGGCCGAGCCTACGGGCTCGGAGATCCCACGTTAAAAATCCGGCCTTGTGGCACATGATGCCACCCTTGAGTGGGAAGTATATACTGTTCAGTCTGAAGTCGGACGACCGGATGACCGGCTGATCGGTTGAACTTTTTGCTTTCGGGCGGGGAGGAACCTGAACGAGGCTACGCCGAAAGGCAGAGACTCTTTCGGGGAGGTAAACCGACCCCGAACCTGTTTATACGGCTTTAAAGGGCATATTTGTGGCCGAGCCTACGGACTTGGAGATCCCACGTTAAACCGGTCTTGTGCCACATGATGCCCTCGTAGGAGGTGAATAAATAACGTTCAGTCTGAAGTCGCATGAGACTAATATAAGAAAATATTTACAAGTTGAAATACAAAACAGAAAAGTTAGGTTTCAGCTGGATTCTGGTTCAGACTTAACTATCATAAATCTACAAACATGGAGAAAATTGAACAAACCTGTCATGTTAAAAACGGATATAATTGCGAGATCAGTTACGGGGAGAAAGATAAAATTCGAGGGTGAAATAATTACAAACGTAACATTTAACGGAATGACGAAAAAACTGTACGAATTAAGAAATACTGAAAACCTATTCGAGACAGACTGGATGCAAAAATTCGAACTGTGGGATCTACCTATTAGAACCTACTGCCAGAATGTAAAAAGCTTATCATCCGAGGCAGACAAATTAAAAGGAAAACTAAAAACGAGTTTCCCCGAAGTATTTTCGGCAGGTCTCGGAAGATGCAAGAAAATGACAGCTAATATCAAAATAAAGGATAACGTTCAACCTATTTTTAAGAAAAAAAAAGAGTGTACCGTTTGCGTCAATAGAAAAGATTGACCAAGAATTATCTAGACTCGAAAATGCGAGCATATTGAAAAAAGTAGAGTACAGCAAATGGGCCGAACCGACGGTCTATGTTAAGAAGAAATCAGGAGAAATTCGAGTTTGTGCTGATTTTCTTACATGTTTGAACGGAGCAATAAAGGACTACCATTATCCGATACCTAGTCCGGGAGAAGTATTCACTGAATTAAATGGCGGAAAATATTTTTCAAAAATTGATCTAAGTGTTGCCTATCTGCAAATTCCAGTCGATGAAGAAAGTTCAAAACTACTATGCATAAACACACAAAATGGATTGTACATATACCAAAGACTACCATTTGGAATTAAAATAGCGCCGGGTATTTTCCAGCAGACAATGGATACGATGCTGGCAGGACTAGTATACACAATAGCATATCTGGATGACATATTGATTAATAGCGAAAGCGTTGAACAACACTGGCAACACGTACAAGAAGTGTTTAAGAGAATTTAAAGCTACGGATTCAAAGTGAAAGAAAATAAGTGTGATTTTTTCATAAAAGAAAATTAAATATCTTGGCCATATAATAGACCAAGAATGTAGACGTCTAGCCACTGAAAGGTCTACAGCAACAAAAAAGATGCCAGTTCCTAAGAATATAACAGAACTACAAAGTTTTCTTGGATTAGTGAATTACTAATCCAAGAAAACTTTCAATTCAGGAATTCATACCTCAAATGCATAAACATCGCGCACCATTGAACGAACTGCTAAAGAAAGAAAAATGCCAGGAAACATTTGAAAAATTAATCAAGACATTAACATCGGATTTATTTTTGGCACACTATGATCCTAAATTAGAGATTGTTGTAGCAAATGATGCAATCGCCTACGGTGTCGGAGCGTGTATATTACATAAAATGCCAGATGGGACAATAAAACCTATCGCACATGCTTCTCGAACCCTACTATCAGCGGAGAAAATCTATTCACAAATTGAGAAGGAAGCTCTAGCAATTAGCTTCGCAGTAACAAGATTCCATTGATACGTCTATGGTAGACACTTTACTCTGCAGACGGATCACAAACCGTTAATAAACAGGTTTGGTTAAAAAAAAGGTCTACCGGTGTACACAGCAAATAGGCTACTTAGATGGGGAACGATTCTTCTGAACTATAATTTCAGACTGGAATATTTACCAACGAAAAGAATCGGGCACGCAGATGGTCTGTCGAGACTTATACCAACAAAGACAAAGCCATTGGAAGATATAGTAATCGCAGCCTTTAGAAATGAAAAAGACATAAAAACAATACTATGTTGTACAGTCAAAAACCTCCCAGTCACAATGCAAGACATAAAAAATGAAGCCAAAAATGATGAATTTATTAATGAAACAAAAGTAAAAATGAGTAAATTTCGGACAGCTTTTCTCTATGCGATAATGTGCTACTTTACAACGAAAGGGTTGTAATCCCCAAAACTTTACAAAAATCGGATACTAAAGGATTTCCACAGAGTACACCCGGGTAAAAATAGAATGAAGTTCGCTAATACGAAGCTATGTATATTGGAAAAATATTGACCAGTATATTTCTCAAAAGGTGGAAATGTGCAAGGGTTGTAATTTAGCAGCTAAAGCACCTCCAATCATACATAAGCCTTGGCCTGAAACTGATCGTCTATGGTCAAGAATACACGCAGATTATGCAGTATCAATTGAGAGGTTCTACTACTTAATCATAGTTGATAGCTACAGTAAATGGCCGGAGGTGTTTCGGTGCAAAAATCCTACTACAGAAACGAGAATAAATTTCCTCCACGATCTATTCGCTCGGTTTGGCGTAGTGGTCTGTTTAGTAACAGATAACGGAACGCAATTTACGTCAGCAGATTTTCCAATTGTTTTGCGTAATCTATCAAGTAAAACATAAAATCCCCGCCTTACCATCCAAGATCAAATGGAAAAGCGGAGAGATTAGTTGATACTCTCAAAAGAGCATTACGAAAAGGGTACGATGTGGTTAGGCAGAAAGCATTACAGCACTTTCTACAGTTATATAGATTAACGCCAAATAATGTGACACCATCAACATTATCACCAGCAGATATCATGTTTGCTAGGAAAATCAGATCAGCGTTCGATAAATTACTACCAAGTAAATCAAAACAAGTAACACAGTCCTACACATCAAAAAGAAAATTCCTCCCAGGGGAAAAAAAAACTTTTTAAAGGCATACAAAAATAATACCTCTTGCTGGGAACAAGGGATAATTGAGAAAAGAATTGGCAATATGATGTACATAGTTCAAGGAAAAAAATTCTCACACAGACGACACGTAAACCAAATAAGGAAGAGACCGTTACAGGATACTAACGGTCCCCCTCAAGAAGAGGTATTGGACACGATTTTCGACACATTCGATATCACAAGACCGCAAAAAATGCCAGAACCAAAAAAAAATCGTCTAGAAAAAGAAAAATTTCTGAACTTTTGGAAATAGATCCAAAGAAAAAAAGATTAAAAAACCCCTGCTACGCAAAATTTTCCGAAGTGGGCTGTTATGGGACCTTACCCATAATAACATAACAGACTATTCCATACGTAATAAATACTGCGCCTCAAGAGGAAGCAGGGAGTCGAAGTCGAACGACCGGCTGATCGGTTGAACTCTCTGGCTTCGGACGGGGAGGAACACCAACTCTGCGAGGTAAACCGACCCTGAAGCCATTTATACGGGTTCAAAGGGCATATTTTTGATCGAGCCCACGGGCTCGGAGATCCCACGGGCTCGGAGATCCCACGTTAAACCGGCCTTATGCCACATGATGCTCTCGGGTGGGGGTGACTAAATACTGTTCAGTCTGAAGTCGGACGACCGGCTGATCTGTTTAACTCTCTGCCTTCGGGCGGGGAGGAACTCGAACGACGCTACACCGAATGGCGGAGTTTCTTTCGGGGAGGTAAACTGACCCTGAACCCGTTTATACGGGTTCAAAGGGCCAATATCCCACGTTAAATCAGCCTTGTGCCACATGATGCCTTCGTGAGCCGGTGACTAAATAGTGTTGAGTCTGAAGTATGGAGTGAGGTCCATCAAAAGTGCGTCAGGAGTCTGTCAGTCAGTCAGTCAGAGCGTGTCAGTCAGTCGAGTCAAGAGTCGAGTCAGAGGCAGTCCGAAACAGAGTCGCGTTTAGACAATTACTACAAGACACTGGAATAGTGATACTGGTCGAGACTACATTGTTCTCTCTACTAAACCTGATTGTTCGTAGTAACACTTTCTACTTCTCTGTATATACCCCTGTTTGTAATATATCTGTGTTATTCCATACCTGTGTTCGAGTTCTTCTTTATTGGTTCTACCTTGGACCATCATCGTGGTACAAAGACCTGGGCAATAACACAAAGTATAAAACACCAAGTACAATATTAAAATATTTGAACTAAATATAAAAAATGTAATGATGTTTTTGTATATAAAGTTTTTTGTTTGTTTGTGCCATATCAATTATTTATGGGTCATTTAATACCTAGATTTAAATTTATTTCTTCGCGAGCATCAGTAATTTATTTTTCAAAAATGTGTACTAAAATGTATTGTATTGTTGGGATTTTTTTTTTTTTTTTTGGTTTAATCACAAAACTGTATTTGCGGTAATGGTTTTTACTATGAAATTGTTTATACTTTAAAAGTGTTTTGACTACAGATTCGGGGTTAACTATTTGCACATAGCTGTAACCCTAACAGGGCGCTATTACCTCGGGTCAGAATGAACCTGGGAACAACAATATTTAAGAGGTTTTTCCACAAAGCAACCCCATCAGAGGCTTTGCTACCGGATTTAGTGTAAAATTTGGGAATAGTTGTATGACAGGGAGAACTGTAAGCACTATTCGAATGGTAAGAAGGGAGAAATCTTAGTGAGTCTAAAGAGTTACAAGCATCCACCTGAAAGGAAATCCGAGCCAAATAGTGAGAGAGCGTGAGAATGAAATATAGAGAGAGCGTGTTTGTTTCACCTTCTAACGAAATGCATAATTCAAGTTCGGAAAAGACACCTAAATACATACACACTCTTTCCGACAGCAATTGAAGAAGTTTTCTGTTGCATAAAATGTCAGCTTCGTTTTGAGTGATGGCATCTTGTGTTCTCATTCAAATAGGAGGTATATGAAGAAGTTATGAGACATTTTTCAAGCACTTTTAACTGTTTTACGTTAATACATCCTTTATATGGTTATAATAATCTAATATACCAAAATCCTTTTTGATAGGTTGTAGGTTCGGAACGCTACAGCACCTGATCATATCTATATACATAGAAATAAATTCAACCACAATTTGATTTAAAGAATGTCACACTAATTAACTGAAAGTGACTTATTTAGACGGAAACTTTTCGCTATCTGGCGCTATCGAGTGTTATCGAAAGATAATCAGCGTCCCAGAATTTCCATCTATCTATCTATCTATCTATCTATCTATATATATATATATATATATATATATATATATATATATATATATATGACTGGATCACTGATGCTTTAGTTTGTAAAACATTGATGGTGATTTCCACATTAAAATGTGTGTGTTTGACGAAATTTGAAAATGAAAAAAAAAAAAATTACTTAGATACATTCATGAGATCCCTAAAAAAGCGTATAGCATGACGAAAAACACGCCAAATTGACGAAAAAAAACTTTATCAAAAACTTTTATCATCTAAATGTTTATATTATTATTAAGAGGAAAGATCAAAGTATTTTTAGTCAGTAATATTGACAGATAAAAGATCATGTCAAACATATTTCCAATTTATAAAAAAAATGAAAATCTCAATTTGAAATTCTTTTAAAAATCAATTATATTTTTTCAAAACATATTTTAAGAAAATCAGAAATTATAAGGTATATTTAAAATATTTTGAAGCAAGCTTAACTTAGTTTCTTCGCCAAAAAGATGTAGTTTGAAAATAAATCAAAGCAGGTCATAACCTTTCGCGTCGCTTGACAAGTGAAGAAGTTTGAAATAAAAATACTTGTAATTTGAAAAAAGTTGAAATAAAATACTTACTAGTTTATTTGGGGAAAATTAAAATAAAAATACTCGTCCTTTTGAAGAAGTTTGAAACAAAAACACTTACTTGGATGTTTGAAGAAAGTTGAAATAAAAATACTCACTTGTTTGAAGAAAGTTGAAATAAAAATAATTACTCTATAAACAAATCGTATTCTAAAATCACATTTGCCTGAAAATATTTTAAAATAGCAATTTTTTTAAATATTTAAAATATTGTTTGTTTAAAAAAAAGCTGAAATATAAATAAGCACGCACGCAATGACGGGAAGCTGGAAAGAGAGAGAAGTGGAAAGAAAGAGTGGTGGGAAAGAGAAAGGTGGAAAGAGAGAGAGGTGAAAAGAAAGACAGGTGTAAAGAGCGAAGGGGGAAAAGAGAGAGAGAGAGAGGTGGAATAGAGTGACATGAAAAGAAAGGGTTGTAAAGATAGAGTTGGAAAGAGGAACAGGTGTAAACAGAGAGAGAGAGAGAGAGAGACAGACAGACAGACAGACAGACAGACAGAGGTGGAAAGAGGGAGAGTTAGAAGAAGAGAATGTTTTTTTCGTTTGGCCTCACTGTCAATTCAAGTTTATTTACCCCTACCTAAATGATAATAAATTTACATCTTTCTTTCCTCTACGGTTCGTGTGGCAAACACAAATCAAGCAAGCAAGCTAAAAAAAGTTCATAGAGTTTAGTGTATGTATATATATATATATATATATATATATATATGTGTGTGTGTGTGTGTGTGTGTTTGTCATACACGTCTTCCGTCCTGGGTGAGACGATAAACGACATACAACAGCAAGGCCTCTGATCAGGAGGTTTTGAGGAGCGTGGAACCAACTCTTAATTTCTGGTGTTCCCAGATCCAACCTGACCCGGAGTTGTTAAAACTGTTAGGGTCCCAGCTATGGGTAAATAGTTAACCCGTAAACTGTGGTTAAAACACTATTAAAGTGTAAATATAGGTTTTAATACCAGAAAAAAAAAACATTCTAAAAAAAATTATTACAGTAATACGTTTTTGAAAAAGAAAAATATTACAGTAATACATTTTTTCAGAAAAAATATTACCAGAAATAAATTTTTGAAGGAAAAAAATATTTCCAGGAATATATTTGAAAAAAAAAAAACAGCAATAAAAATGTTGTCGGCGTTAAATAACCCATTGAGGTTGATATGTCGTCAAACAAACCAAACCAAAACAAATCATATACGTCTTGTCACTGCTGAATGGTTCCACAATGGGATAGGAAGTTGTGAACAACTTGGAGGCGCGATACCCCAAAAAAATATTTTTTGTCAAGCGAGACTAGAACGTTGCAGCAGCCCAT